ACCAAAGATCCTTCAGCGAACGTCGAAGACTGAAACTGAAGATTAGAGACTGGCGAGTACATGATCTGAAGCGGTATTCAGTGATTACAAACCTATCTACATATGTGTGAAGACTGTTCTAGCTTCAGTGAATGATGATGAGATCTCCAGGTCATCCCATTTGCACACAAAGGTCAAACCCATACCCTTGCAAAAGTTAGTACGGTACGGTGCCGATTAGTCGACTCTTTGTCCACCAACTTTAGGCAAGGATGTCTGCTCAAGAATAGTGCTTTTGTACTATTCACTGTAGCAAAGGACAAGCCTTCCTCTTAAGGCTTGCCACGCACTCTAAACCTACCATATTGCATTAAATGTTCATTTAATGCACTGGGTATAAATAGAAGTGTTTCTTCTCTTTGTAGAGTGTACGCATGTCTCTGCAATCCTCTTCTTACTTCAAGCATCTTCTAGCTTAAGTAAAAGATCTTCTTTTTAGCAATCTTTTTTTCTTGTAATTGCTAAAGATCTGTGTGTAACCAAAGATTGTTTAGATAGGTTTTCTTTACCTTATCTTTCCGCAAACAGTCTTGTAAAATCTGTATTGATCTTCTCTATCAATATATATTTTAAATTTGAACAATACTGTGTTTGTATTCATCCTCCCTTCTACAAACTGTTTCTATTCTTGTAGACCCTTTCGGGACCAACAGTTGCTTTAGGACTAAATTTGTGTGAAAAGTCTATTTTGCCCTCATCTCTACCTTAGTATAAATAGAGATGTTGTGGTTAGTTTTTGAATCATCCCATCTAATTCTCAAGTAGTTGTCTTACTACTTGGAGAACACTTTCTCTCTCTAGAAATACTAGTAAACTTTTGGCTAATCTCAAGCTTTCCTTAATTTGTTTTCTTTATTTACTTGGTCTTTAAATTATGTCATTTATTTATTGCGCTTACTTGCTCTTTAATTTACGTCATTTATTTATTACGCTTTCCGCATTTTATTTCCTGTCATTTACTTTCCGTTATTTATTTTATGTCTTTTTTTATCGTTCTTTATATTTCTTGCAATTTATGTTCCCTCATGAGTAGCTAAATTTCTTAGCTCAGGTGTATGACGGAAAAGGTGAGTTTGTAAATCAAAATAAGGTAGACTCTTTTATGTAACAACAATGCTCCATTATTTCATTTCAAGTTTTATAAAACCAATGACACTTCTTGACGAGTTGATCACTGAAAAGTGTTAAAGTGCCATGGACTCTGAGCCGAGCCATTGATTGCACATCAATTTGGATGATATGGGAAGTGGACTTGAGAGAGTTGCTAACAAAGAGATTTGTTATCCGTATTTTTTAAATTGTTAATTCTCGACAGGTTGATCACTTTAAAGTGTTAAAGTGGAATTATCTCAGGGATGAGCCATTTAGAACACGTCAACTTGAATGATATGGGAATCCACTCGAGAGAATGATTTTTAACGAAGAGATTTGTTTATCCATATATTTTGAGGACACCATTTGTCACTTTCATTGGTCCGGATACCTCATAGAGATATGGGTTGAAAGCTATAATATCAGTGCATTGGTGAAGTCCGAGAGGAATACCTTCAAAATAAATGGTGAAAATAGTTGTTACTAATTGTATGTTGTAGCAATTTGTCAGCATGGTCTCATGCTGTAGCATTTTGGCAGCATTGGTCTACTGGAAATAGTATTTACATCTCACCCTAAGTCTTACACCCTGACTTGCTTTTATAATCTGTTATTTCCTGTTAAATTTTTAGTTGTGTTAACTCTGTTCAAATCAAAGTCTTCAAATTCGCTCCTGAAATCATTTCCTTAATATTATTTTCATCTAAACTTTTACTATGATCCATGTGGACGATATTCAGTACTTGTACCACTTCATTACTTGAAAGATGATATTGAGACTAATTGTATACTTGCTATTGGTCCTAGTTGTAAGTTTGTGGGTATGTGAATATGGACCCGATCAAGTTTTTGGCGCCGCTGCCGGGTATTGGCAAGCTATAAAGTTTTCTTTGAAAGTAACTTTAAAGATTTGATTTTTTCTAACACCGTTTGATCCGCTTTTAAGAGGTGTATGCCACGGATACACCATGGGGAGTTTCTCGAATTCGATTCGGATATTGAGAGAACATTCCGCCAAAGAAGAAGGGCTCAAAGAGCAAATTCTTCTCTACTCCCTCCTAATATGGCGTCACCTCCCCCAGTTGACGAAGATATACCAATTCAAAACCCACCAGAATTTGGTCAAATACCACAATTTCAGCCTTTTCTGCCAAATGCACCACCTTTTTCAAAACCCAATAGGACATCCTTTTCAACAAGGGCCACAAAATCATGAAGAAGCACATAATGACACGAAATTTGAAAATAATAATCATTCAAGAGCTCAAACTCCAAATATAATTAATCTTGCAAACTCTAGAAATGGAAGAATCATGGACTACACTATTCCTGACTTTGAACAATTGAACTCAGGGATAGTTAGACCTCATATGATTGCCCTTCATTTTGAGCTTAAACCGATCATGTTCCATATGTTGCAAGCAAATGGACCATTTGCAAGATTACCATCGGAAGATCCTCACTCACATCTAAAATCTTTTATGGAAATTACTAATGCCTTCTTGATCCCGGGAGTGTCTAACGATGCTTTAAGACTTACTTTGTTTCCATTTTCTTTAGGGGATCGGGCAAAAACTTGGTTTAATTCATTACCACTAGGTTCTATACCATCATGGGGCAATATGGCCGATTTCTTTTGCGAAAATACTTTCCACCCACCAGGGACCCTAAGTTCAAAAATGAAATCTGTCTTTTTAAACAAATGGACGATGAAGTTGTTCCTGATGCATGGGAGAGGTTTAAAGAGTTTTTAAGAAAATTCACCATGGCATTCCTTACTGCATTCAACTCTAGACATTCTACAATGGGTTAAATCCCATAGCTAAACAGATGCTCGATGCGACTACGGGAGGAGCCTTTACAGCTAGTACTTACAATGAAGGGTATGAAATCCTTGAAAAGATTTCTGCAGACAATGGACACTGGGCTGATCCACGTACCCAACCACAAAAGAAGAAAACTAGAATTCATGATGTAGATGCATACATTGCATTAACAACACATCTCTCTTCCATGGCCAACATGCTTAAAAACCTAACTTCTGGCCAAGCAGTGCAACCAACTGTTACTACACCTATTCCAGCAGTCCTCTCAGTGCAATTTGTTTGTTGTGAAGAGGAACATTCTTATGAACTTTGCCCACATAATTCTGAATCTGTGAATTATGTTCATAATAGATCAAATCCCTATACCAACACAACAATGCTAGTTGGAGACAACACCCAATTTTTTCATGGAACAGTCCAAGTTTGAATCCACCTATTCATAAGCAACAAGGAAACCCTAATTTTCAACCTCAACAACATGCAAGCAGTTCTAACTCTCAAAATCATCATCATCATCGGAATTTTCAAGCTGCTCAACCAGCTTTTCAAAACAAAGCACCTCCATAATTTGAATAATCAATTTCTTTGGAAGCTATGATAAAAGGATTGGTGGCTCAGTCTCAAGCTTAGCAGCAAATGATGACTCAAAATTAGCTATTTTTAATCAACAAAGTGCTGCTATCAGAAACCTGGAAACTCAAGTCACTCAACTTGCACTCAATCAGACCAATAGAGCCCTTGGAACTTTTCCTAGTAACATAGAAGTCCCTAAAGATCTAGGAAAAGAGCATATGAAAGAAGTGACTCTTAGAAGTGGGAAGGAATTAACATAGACCATACCAAAAGAAAGTGAACGGGTTGTGTCTAAACCTGAGACTACACCTATGGCCCCTATTACTGAAAATCCACCAAAACCATTGGATAACCAATCATCTGAGGTCCCTACTTTTGTTCCTCCTAGTTCAGACTATCCTTTGTTATTCCCAAAAGAAGTTTCTAAGAAATAGCCAATTGAAATAAAGCCAGTCAAATAAAGCCATCATAAAACTAGTTCCTTTTCCCCAAAGGTTAAGGAATTAAAAGGAAGAATTGTAATTTAAGAAATTTTTGGGAGTGTTTTAAAGCAATGCACATCAACATACCTCTTGTTGAAGCAATTGAGCAAATGCCCAGTTATGCCAAGTTCTTCAAAGACATCTTAAGTAAGAAAAAGAAGCTGACTAAATATGAAACCATTGCTCTTACTGAAGGATGTAGTGCGTTTCTGACCAACAAGATACCTCCTAAGCTTAAAGACCCAAGAAGTTTCACTATTCCCTATTCTATAGGTGGAAAGGAGATTGTAAAGGCGTTGTGTGATTTAGGTGCTAGTATTAACCTTATGCCCTTGTCTGTTTTCGACACCTTAAGCATAGGAGAAGCTAGACCCACCATTATCCCACTACAATTGGCCAACAGAACCATTGCTTATCCAAAAGGTAAGATTGAGGATGTCTTAGTTCAAGTTGACAAGTTCATATTTCCAGTTGATTTCATCATTCTAGATTTTGATGCTGATAAAGACATTCCTATCATCTTAGGAAGACCATTCTTAGCCACCTACGAAACTTTAATTGATGTTCAAAAAGGAGAACTAACTATGAGGCTTCAAGACCAGAAAGTCACATTCAATGTCTTTAATTCCTTAAAGTATCTTGATTACTTGGAGGAATGCTCAGGAATAACTAAGATAAAGGCAATGTGTCGTAAGGAAGGAATTAGAAAGGCCTGTAAGTTAGAGGAGGAGGATAGTGCTGAGATAGATGAAAAGATTATAGAGAAGTTAGGAGATGATACTATCCCACAAGATGCTGCAGCATTTGAGTTGTTGGAAAATAGTGAGCAAAAGAACTTTACCCCATCCATAATTTCACCACCTGACCTGGAGTTGAAGCAACTCCCATCTCATTTGAAGTATGCTTTTCTAGGAGAAGAAGGCAAATTGTCTGTCATCATATCATCTACCTTAGACTTACATCAAGAAAAGAAGCTTATAGACATGTTGAAGTTGCACACAAAAGCTATAGGATGGACCATTGCTAACCTTAAAGGGATTAGTCCTTCTATTTGTCAACATAAGATCATACTAGATGAAAATAACTTCAGGTCTATAGAGCCTCAAAGAAGATTAAACCCTGTCATGAAAGAGGTAGTGAAAAAGAAAATTTTGAAATGGCTAGATGCAGGAATAATTTTTCCAATAGCCGGTAGTTCTTGGGTTAGTCGAATCGAATGTGTCCCAAAGAAGGGAGGGTTTACCGTTGTCACCAATGACAAAAATGAACTCATTCCCACTAGAATAGTATCTGGATGGAGAATATGAATGGACTACCATAGGCTAAACAAAGCCACCAAAAGGACCATTTTCCCTTACCTTTTATTGATCAGATGTTGGATAGGTTGGCCGGAAAGGAATATTACTGTTTCTTGGATGAATACTCCGGATATAATCAAATAGACATATCACCCGAGGACCAAGAAAAAACCACCTTCACTTGTCCCTATGCCTTTAGGAGAATGTCATTTGGACTCTGCAATGCTCCTGCAACTTTTCAAAGATGCATGATGTTCATATTCTCTGACATGCTTGAAAAGTACATAGAAATCTTTATGAATGATTTTTCAGTTTATGGCTCATCTTTTGATAATTGTTTGGAAAATCTAAAAAGGAGTCTTAAAAGATGTGAAGAGACTGATTTGGTTCTAAATTGGGAAAAATGTCATTTCATGGTTAAAGAAGAGATTATTTTGGGACATTTGATTTCTAAAAGAGGAGTTGAGGTAGACAAAGCTAAACTTGAAGCTATTGAAAAGCTACCTAAATCAACCACTGTCAAAGGAATAAGAAGTTTTATTGGTCATGTTGGGTTTTACAGAAGGTTTATTAGAGACTTTTCAAAAATCTCAAAACCCTTGTGTTTACTTTTGCAGCATGACCAAAAATTTGATTTCACTGATGAATGTAGAAATGCATTCAACACTTTGAAGAAAGCTTTGGTAACTGCACCAGTAGTTAGGCATGGAAACGGGGCAGGGATAGGGCAGGTTTTGTAATTCCCGGCCCCGGCCCCGGTTTGTAGTAACGTTCCCCGGCCTCGGCCCCAATCCCCGGCAGCTACGGGGATTATCATCCCGTTCCCGGTCAAATCTCTAGTAATCCCCGGTCAAAACACTGTAAAACCCCGGTCAAACCCTATAAATAGTATCCTTTAGTTTGATTTTATCGGGGATCCTCGACCCCGATTTGAGTAAGATCCCCTATCCCTGGCCCCGTCCCCGGTCTGAGTCTACCGGGGATCCCCGGCCCTGGGACCCATTTTAGCGGGGAATCCCCGTCCCCGTTCGGGTCGGGTGAACCGGGTTCCCCACCGGGTCGGGGCAAATCACCATCCCTACCAGTAGTTGTTGCTCTTGACTGGAACAAACCTTTTGAAATAATGTGTGATGACAGTGCTTGGGCTGTAGGATTTGTCCTAGGTCAAAGAAAAAAGAAAGTCTTTCATTCAATTTATTATGCAAGTAAAACTTTGAATGAAGTACAACTTAATTACACAACAACTGAAAAAGAATTATTAACTGTGGTTTTTGCCTTTGAGAGGTATAGATCATATTTGATGGAAACAAAAGTCACTATACACACTGACCATGCTGCCATCAAGTACTTGATCTCCAAAAAAGATGCTAAACCTAGGCTAATAAGATAGGTTTTGTTGGTGCAAGAGTTTGACCTAGAGATAGTGGACAGAAAAGGAGTGGACAATCAAGTTGCAGATCATTTGTCTAGACTAGAGAAACCTATTAAGGACAAAGGAGAAGGAGACATCAGTGAAACCTTGTCTAATGAAAGAATTATTGTGCTACAATCAAAGTCACCATGGTTTGCTGACATAGCAAATTATTTGACTTGTGGCATAAAACCTTTTGATTATACTAGCCATATGTTTAAAAAGTTTCTCCATGATACTAAATCTTATCTTTAGGATGATCCTTACTTGTTTAGAATAAGTGCAGATCAAATTTTAAGGAAGTGCATCCCAGAAACTGAAGTGGCAGAAATTCTGCAGCATTGCCACCAAGGATGCCCACAGTTTTTTTCACAAAGATGCAATGAGTGTCAAAGAAGTGGTTCCAWTTCCAAAAGGAATGAAATGCCACTAAATGGGATCTTAGAAGTAGAGTTGTTTGATGTTTGGGGAATAGATTTCATGGGACCATTTCCCCCATCAAGTAATTGTCAATACATTCTAGTTGTTGTTGATTATGTGTCAAAATGCTATGGCTTGTGTTTCTAATAATGCTAAAACTGTGGTTAAATTTCTTCAGAAGCATATTTTTACAAGGTTTGGTACCCCCAGGGCACTAATAAGTCATGAGGGTACCCACTTTGTAAATAACCTGTTAAGTGGAGTCCTTGAAAAATATAACATTAACCACAGGATTGCAAATGCCTACCACCCACAAACAAATGGATTAGATAAACTCTCAAACAAAGAAATAAAGGGAATTTTAGAAAAGGTTGTCAAGCCAAACATAAAAGATTGGACTTCCAAATTAGATGACGCTTTATTGGCATACAAGACTTCTTTTAAAACACCTATTGGTATGTCCCCATATAAGTTGGTCCTTCTTAAGGCTTGTCACCTCCCTTTAGAGCTAGAACACAAAGCATTTTGGGCCATCAAAGAATTAAATATGTGTCATAATGTTGCTGCCAATAAAAGAAAGTTCCAACTTTGTGAATTAGAGGAACATAGGAATCTGTCCTATGAAAATGCCAAGATCTATAAAGAGAAAACAAAGAAATGGCAAGACAAAAGAATTCAGCAAATAGAGTTGAGAGCAGGCCAGCAAGCCCTTTTGTTTAATTCAAGGTTAAAATTGTTCACAGGAAAGTTCAAGTCCTGATG